ATATAAAAAAAAAGAAAATTTGATATTAGTATTTATATATATATATTATTATCCGATAAAAATTCTATATATATATATATATAAATATATTAATCACAATAACTACAACAACATAAATAATAATTTTATTATCCGAATTCACAATGTGCACATTTATTTATTTATATATATATATATTAATCAGTCATTATATATATATATTTTTAATTAATATATGATGTTAAAAAAATATTTTAATTATATATATATATTTAGTAGAACACAAATTTTACCGTTGGTTTTTATTATTATTATTAATTATTATTAATGGACAAATAAATTAAAAAATTCATATTAAATATTACAAAAATAATTTTATGTTTATTATATATATATATATAATTAATTATATATATTTTACTGGAATAGAGTAAATAATATTTTGAATAAGGCTGCTTGATGGGTCAGCTATTCGGACATAATCTTGGGGGCTGTGGCGTTTTTGTTAACATCGTCCATAAAGGTGATCTATCACCTAATGTGAAACCTGAATCACGTTCCTGAAAAAAAAATTTATATTTTATTATTATTATTATTGGGGATTATTATTATTATTAATAACGATGATGATACCTGTGGCTTATTAGACGTATTTAAAACGCCAAGCCCTCTTGTATATTAGCTTTCTAATGCTTTAAGAACATCAGATGTTTCATCACCATCAGGATCTGATTTTTCTTCAACAACTGTATCAAGTTCTAATGAAGGAAATCCTCGGCTCATGGCACGTTCACTACACAAAGAAACGGCTGCCGTTCTACCAGATGCAGGAAACATTCCTTTTAATATGAAATAAAATAAGAAAAATTTTCTTCAACTTTTCCTAATTAATGTTCCCCAGGAATTATTATAATTTTACAAATTTTTAATTATTTTTATTTAATAAATATATGTAATTAATTTCATATTCAAACACCTTTTATATTTAAGATTTATTACAATTTCCCCTCCCCACCTTTAAACTTAGGATCTTAGGATCTTTTTCTTCTTTTATCTTTCTTTCACTACTTTATTGTCAATTTCACATTTTTCCACATCATTAAATTTTCAAACTATATATTTTTTATCCGATTTAATAATGCTTTAAAATAAGAAAAATTTTAAACCTTTTTATAAAAATATATGCGAAATTTTTAAAGGTCAAAAAAAGAAATAAAATCATTTTAAATAATAATAATGATAATAATTTGATACATACAGAGAAAAAAATTATTATTAAGTAAATTTTTTTACCTAATTTGATTGTGCTGAATCGAACTAAATTTAATGCTCCGTGATCGTCAAGTTTCCTAAAAAGAATAAATTAATTAATTAACAGAAAAAAAAAAAATTTTTTTTTAGTTTTATAACATAGAACGAATTTAACCACACAAATGTTTAATTTACTTAACGAATTCGTAAACAAAAACACACGAATTAATGACGTAGCTTAATAATGATAATAATAAAGATAAATAAATTTAATCGATGCGTGATTAATATAAAGCATATTTCTTTTAATAATTTTATCGTAAATACACAAAAACACACACACGTTCGTTAATAATAAATTAAAACGTTTAACGGTTTTTAATTCGATGATTAATGACACGTCGATTTTAACGTATATTAATTTATTAATCCTTCCGCGAGAGCGCGCCCACGCGAGCGCGCATTTTCCTACCACGTCAAAATGGATTTAATATACTATTAACACTAAATAAAGGGGGTAATAATAATTATTTATAGAAAATATTTAACGAATATCCTTTAATAATTTTAAAATATTTAAGAAAATCTCTCTCTCTCTCTATTAATTATTTATTTTACGTGCGTAAATTTATTTTGACAAAACAGAAAGAGAGAAAAGAATTAATTATTTATTTAAATATATTATTAAAAATAATATTTAAATGATAAAATTCACGTGGGAGTAGAATATAATGTTTCATTTTTAATAAATAAAAAAGAGGGTAAATAAAAAACATTTTTTGTATAAATTTTATTACAGAAAAAATTTACCTTTTATTTTTTCTTTAATAATTTATTGTTATGATTTTTCTAGAATTGCACGCATGCACGTGGAAAAAGAAACAACCGAGTCGTAAATTATTTATTTTCTTTTGTTTGCGACGTGTTTTTTTTTTTTTTTTTCCAAATATCGTTTAAAACGTTAAAAACGACGAAAAAAAACAAAATTTCCACGTGTTTTCCCAATTTAATTACGTAATATTATTTATTTATTTATTATTAATTATGTTTAAATGTTTCTAACGAATACTTTTCAATCATCTCTTCTCTATAATAACTAAATTTTTTTTAACAGTTAAATGTAGTCAATGTTATCATGCATATGTGTGCATATACAAAAAAAATTTCCTTTCCTCCCTCTTTCCCTCCTTCCCTCCTTACCCCCTCAAAAAAAAATATTTATCGTTATTAAAAAATTTTTTGGCATTTTAGTAGTAGTACTAAAAAAAAATATTCTTCTTCTTCTTCTTCTTCACGTTTTTTATTTATGTGTTTGTTCAAAAAAAAAAAAAAAAAAATTTTTTTTTGTTTTTTTTTAAAACTTTACATAACAAAGTTTAGTTTTTCACGTCAAAAAATTTTTCCCCCCTTCAAAAAAAAAAAAAACTCAATTTAATGCAAACTAAACTAAAATTATTTAAGTTATGTGATGAGTTTTAAAATAAGTTTTCTTTTTTTTTTTTTTTTTTTTTTTTTCATTTTTGTTTTCTTTCGAAAAAAAAAATCTTTTTTCCTCCTTTTCCTTTTTCTTTTTTTTCGATGACGTGAAAACAAATATTATTAAATTATTATTATTATTATTACAGATTTTTTTTGTTATCACACCGATTAAATCGATTTATTAATTATTATTATTATTATTTATGAATTATTTATCTTAATGACGTGTAATTTAAAGTTTATATTTTACCCGATGATAAATTCGAAATAAAAAATAAAAATTTGTTAACAAGTTAGAAAATTATTAGGTTAAATTAATGACGTAATAACCGTTAATTATTTAAGGATATTTTTCTATTGTTTCTCTCTTTCTCTCTCCCCCTCTCTTTCTATCTCTTAATACATAGATTTGTTGTTTTCCATTGTTGGGGGGGGGGTTTTTTTTTAGATAACATAAAAGTGGATTTTGGTAGATTTTGTTGAAAGCTTTCATTGGTTTTTCCCGTTATTTCATTTTAAATAAAACCACTTAATAATTAATTGATTTCAATTAGTTGAGCTTTCGACAGGAACCGTGGGTTTTATTATTATTATTATTATTATTTAAAAAAAAAAAATCTTTTCATCACTGACGATTTAAAACAAAAAAAATTTTTTTTTCTTTCCTTTTTTCTTTTCATTAATAATTTTTTTTTTTTTTTTTTACCGGAAACGGAAGAGAAATTACATCGATTCGCGCGTATTATTAATTACTAAAAACAAATTTTTTTTTTTTTTTAAAAAAAGTTATCGATTTAATTGATTGATTTATTTATTCATGTAAACACTAATTGAATTTTTTTTCTTCCCCTTTTTACGTAAAAACAAATAATAAGACTGAATGAGGGGGGGAGGAGGAGGGGAGGGGGGAATAGCTCGTTTCTTTAAAAAAAAAATTTAATTAAAAATAATTTTCACACGCTCGGGAGAGAAATAATAAATAAATAAATAAATAAATAAATTTTCGATCGTTAATGTTAATAAAATAAATAAATAAATAACCAGACAAATTAAAATTTTTTTTTACATTAATTAATTAATTAAAAAAAGAAAGAAAGAAAGAAAGAAAGAAAGAAAGAAAGAAATTAGAAAACGAATAACGAAATATGAGTGACAATAATTATAATTAATTATAATTTTTTTAATTAAAAAAAATTATTTTAATAATTAATTGACGTTAAAAAAAAAAAATAAATATGTATGCATATTTATTTTCTTTCTTTCTGGATATTAATTTTATTCTTTATTATATTATGTATATATGTACATAAATAAAAGAAGGGGAAAGAAAGAAAAATGCGTAAAGCGTAACAATTATAAATTCGACGCCATTTTTTTTTTTTTTTTCATATATACTGGAATTTAGTTTTGAATAATAATTTTTATAACTTCCGGAAAACGATTATTCCGGCATTTGCATTTTTTTTTTTTTTTTTAATTGCGTACGTTAAAAAAAAAAATTTAAGGAAATAAATAAGAGAAAAGAGGTTAGGGAGGGGAGAAGGGAAGAAAACCACCGGAAAATAATTTTAAAAAAAATAAAAACTCACCCTGCACGTCTCCTTTCTCTTTCTCTTGCCAATTTTGCTCTTCTTCTAAGGCAACATATTACCAACAATGCCAAAATAGGAAATCCGATGATGCACGAAACAATTGGCACGACTACCGATTCTGGAGAAACTATAATAATAATAATAATGATAATTATTTATTGATTTTAAATTTTAATAAAAAAAAATTTCAATTTTTAAATTCTAAAGGTAAAATACGTAACTTTATTAAATAACAAACGAATAAACTTTTTTTTTTTTTTTCGTTTGCATTTTAAAAATTAAATAAATAAAACGAAATTGAGAGGAAAAAAACAAATTCAATGTTTCGTCTGCTATTGACATGACAAACAGGTTAAAAAATCATTTTGGTTTTTTTTTCGTTTTGGGGAGGGAGGGGAGGGAGGAGGAGGAGAAAAAAATTCAATTTAACGTAAATTTCAAACAAATAAATAAACGCGAGCGTGAATAAATTTTTTTTTTTATTTATTTAATCGATATTCGTTTTAATACTTATTATTATTATTAATATTACACTTGAACGAAATAATTTAATAAATCAAACAAACAAACAAACAAACAATGGAAAAAGTTATTTTAAAACTTTCAATAATTTTTAATTTATTATCGAAATAATTAATAATGCAATTGCAGTAAAATAAAAAAAGTTGAATTATTAATAATTAATAATCACACACACACACACGCTCGACTAAAATTTTCCTTTAATAATAAATAAATAAATAAATAAATAATACATAATATTTATTAACATGTTATTTTTTCATAATATTATCATCGATCTTATTTAAAAATTTATTATTATTATTATTATTATATACATATTAATTATCGTTGATTTTTAAAATGTAATTTTTTACACTTTTTTTTAAAATTTAAAATAACAAAAAAAATTACGTAAAATAAATAAATAAATAAATAAATAATAATAATAATAATAATAATAATAAATAAATAAATAAATAAATAA